TTACACCACTCGGTTTTATACGCGCTGGCCAGTGTCCTCCTCACGTACATTTCTCCGCTTTCTCTCCCTTGCTCCCTGATCTCCGCCTCAGTCTGCAATAACGAAGTAACAGCAGATTTCTTTCGGAGTGATCATATTCCAAGCCCTCTATTCCAGCAATGTCTCGAGTAGACACTAAAAAAGAGAGCTTGAATCACTTGGGATCTCTAACTTCTGGGTTCTATACCTGTAGCAGTACACGTGAGGGAAATTGTTGTTGAGTTAGTCAAGCTGTTTCGACCCCTCTAACAAACTCTCTACTGGGCCTTTTTCTTCGAAAAACCATTCATCCCAGTTGCATAGTGTGCTAATTAGAGACTTCCTTCTTGAGCTTAAAGCATGCCTATGAGGAACATTATTTGTTGTGATTCTTTGTCAAGGCTTCTAAACTATATTTCTTATTATCACAACCCAAAAAAAAACGGTCACATGCGTCCAGACAAGGCTCAACTCCACTTTGCATCAACAGCCCCGCCCCTCTCCGTTTTCAGTTCCGGGCGAATGTTGGTGCAGCTATGCAATCTGCAGCGGTAATAAGATTTATTATGCTGAAAACCGCTTGCCACCCCTTTTTTGAAATTAAGTGGCGCCTTCGTTCTGTAAACTTCGACGGGTGAGCAGCTGAAGTGAGAACGTAAATACTACTAGACAGAAACAAGAAACAATCGAAGATCGCAACCTTTGCTCTCCTCACATCTTCTCCCACTCCAAAGAAATGGGCTGTTTCATGGTTCCTGCAAACATTAGATTTTTTTCACTGAGGCAACAGTTGCCCGACTCCTTGCCCCAACAGAGTTTTAACAACTTTAAAGCGCATGATCAAAGCTGCAGCTTTTGCTAGAGATGATGATGAAATAGTTCTTGTACAGATGAGTCCTCTCTTTTTATCTCCACATGGCAAACAGATCTTACCCATAATAGCTAAGAAATCCTCCAAAATATTAAGGTACTTTGTAAAGCGCTTAGGTCCTTTACGTGCAGGCAGACTTTGTATGAGCATAAATGCTTCCCCCACGCTTCATAACTACTATAAATTGAGAGCTAACATCGCACCCATTCGCTGCTGTAATCGGGTTTACACAATCGTGCACAGCACTCTGGCTCGGGTCGATGAGTTGAGGTCTCGTTTGGGTCAGCAATCTCGCGATAACTATCTTATCGTAATAGGATGATAGAAGAGCGTACTGAATAGTGATATTCTCATGACATCTAGCCGATACTGCCTTTGAACACAACCTTAGCTGACCTAAAGAGCTCGATAAGCTGATATCTAGTTGACATGTCAAGCGATATGCTGACTCATGCATGCTCCAGTCTCAATAACTATGGGTTCCACCGCTGTATGCATTCTTCCTCTCCCACACAAACGCATTCATCACTCTCAGGATTCGAACTGAAGCGACGTAGTAATCCACCCCTGGAGCCAGAGCGGTGGACGCCAAAATGTCACGGGCATATCCGTATGTCACGGTCTGAGGATCCGCCGTTTGTGAATCTCCCGCTATCTTATCACGACCTCTTCATCTCACTCATCGGTCATTCCCGTCCCACTGTCCACTTCTGTTTGTTCTTGACCGAGGCTGCGAGGCTCTCCGCTGCGCTCATGGCACAATCCACTCTTCTCCGTGAATCAGATCGCTTTCACTACGCTTTTTTTGGTTTTCGTCCAGCTGCCTTCTTTTTCGCCCTCTTTCTTTCTCTAATAGTCGCCTGGCGCCCTTCTTCAATAATCCCCTTTCTTGGCCCCATTCGGGAGCAGCGTCAACCCTACAAGTACCAACGGGGGGGGGGTCGTAGTTTGTTGAAGTTTGTGGTGGGGGGGGTCGTACTTGTTTCGGTAGCGCGAAATTACATGTGATGAGGTGAGAGCGCGCGGGAGAAAATTTGCCGTTTCAGCGTGCGTATATATCTCCCTAGAAAATGAGAAGTGGTAATATAGATGAAAGAGGGTAAGGAATCTGAAGGGCAAAGAGAGGAGAGGAAATCTTTGCGCGTTTCATGGTAGTCTATATGCCTCCGCCCCGCCGCCGGTGCAGACGGAAATTATAGTGCGGTATAATTGGGTGAAAGAGCGGTCTCGAATAAGATCTATGTCATGGAGCAAGGGGAACGAAAATTTTGACAAAAAGTCCAACGATGGACCGACTCTGTTCAGTGAGGCGTATAACAGTTTCGTCTCAACATGTCGTTTTGTGTCTGCGGAAATAGAGCACAGACTTTGTTTGAATGACACTTGAGCCTTATACATACTCCATTTATTTGGCAAATTTAGCCCGACATCTGCTGTATGACGCCGGATGTCGTCCAGGCGCATATGCGCGAGTGTCGAAAATGAGTCAGAAATAGACTCGAACCCCTTTCCATTCTGCTACGCATTCCTACGGCTTGCATTGTGATTTCGGGCTACTATGGTGGCTTTTCTCATGACTGTTATCAATTTGCAGCTGCGCACGCAAACACTTTAAAATTTCATTTGATGTCAGATTAGATGGAAAATATTTCGTTGTTACAACTGATTGAAGTTGTCAAGAGAACGTCGGCAAGCCGGTTCCCAAGATGATAGACGACTGGTCGGGTGATGTAGACGACGCTCCAAGAGCACATCCAGCGGGATAGTGTAGCGTATGCTGCGAGAGCCATATTGAAGACAAAGTGGTCCGTAAATTTTCAGCAGCGTGCTCGGGGAAAGGATCCGGTGAAAAAGCTGCGATTTCTCGGCACTTCTGCCTGAAAAATAGACGCGGAGGGAGGGGTTTGTGTGGAAAGCTTTGCAAATATTGCGGCGGAGGAGAAAATAAATTGCATGGCTGGAGCTAAAAGTGACACCCAAGCGCTTGACACTGATTATCGCGGCACCAGTTCTGCAAAGCCCATTAGAGTTTTGATCACGTGTCGATTCTCTTGCGAAAAGTGAATGGGGACAGTCAATCTACAATCTGTTAAAAAAATGTTTATGGTTTCACGTAGGACATATTGAACCCATGTGGGAAACGGACTCGGTGTTCGCCTGGCAGAAGATGAGCAGGTAAAGGCGTCTTTAAGCTCGGGGCAATACTTAGCTATTCCCTTATGGACACGACGCATGCCCAATGTTGATGAATCCCTCAAAGATGCGGTGAACCTTCGATTTGGGTTCCGATTTCACCCTCCTAATCGCATGGTCGATTTCAGAGGGGAGGGTTCGCGATTAGATCCTCACATTAGAGCAATCCCCTTTGTGAGTGAAGCAGCAGTTCAGATTTTAAAGCAATGCTCTCGGTGAGCACGTTACTGTGACAGTGATATGACCGCTTTGCTTAAGGTCTAAGCAAGAAGTAGCAGCACTGCCACGACTCAAAAGTGCGCGACAAAGGAGCTGAGAGCCTGTCTTGCCCCTCCGACTGTTGCCATTTTTACCTTTTTGCAGCATACGCCGAGTCTGCACCCTCTCATGCGACCTGCTCTCTCGCGCATGCCTTCTCCTTGCTACGCTGCGTCTCCCTTTCGCACCACTGTCGAACTCAAAAGGGAAGATGACTCTCATTTATTGCTTTCTATGTTTCCTTCTGCTTTTTTCTTTTCCCTCACCGGAAATCTTCTTCACACCTCTTCCGTTTTCCAACAGAATAACCTGCCAGTTCGATTTCAAACCGTATCTTCAAGCGATTTGCCAATGTTGATGTCAGTTGCACTGACATTTCCCGAGTCGGCATGTTATTTGATTCTCTGCTCAAGAATCTCTGCAAAAGTTCTCAGTGTACAGTGTAACACCACAAAAAATGTCTTTTTCGGGGTTCTGCGGAAATTCCTTTCTTCTTGTTTTATTCCAAGAGAAAATGTCTGATGAATGATGCCCCTAGAAAATCGTAAGTGAGGAAATAGTAAAACGAAAACAACAACTCATCACGTAATAGATGAGAGGCTCGCCATTGATTGATTATTCCAATCCACGCCGTGCTTATGGATTCCAATCAGAGTCGTGAAATTTTTCGAGGTATATGGGTCAACTGATGTGCTGCCCGTGTTTCCATTTCTGTGGATGAGTCTGTTACGATGCTGCTCACCTCGGCAGTATGGAAGACTTGTTTGCTTTTCT